CACATACACACATACACACATACACACACACACACAACGGTGTAGGGGAGGCCTTGATATGGGAGGGCATAGTTTAATTGTTTGAATACAAAGGTCCGTTTATTAGGGTGGGGGGAGTGAATGGATACAAACGAAATGTTGGGGGTGCACGTCCCTCGGCCCCGACACCCATAACGTTGAAGAACGATTCACAAATTGCCCATAATGCCCATTTTGAATGTGCTATAGCTGGTTAATGTAAATAAGCACCTTAATAGTTAGCAGGATAGTTGATTATTCAGTTTCATTAAATGTCTTTGCTTTTGCAGCATGTCAAAGATACTTAAATGTGCCGGAAATGAAGATATCATAACTTTGAGAGCTGAGGACAACGCAGACACGTTGGCCTTGGTTTTCGAGACTCCAAGTGAGTTATAATCGGGATTTACTTTTGAAACAATACCTTTTTTTATAAAAGTACATTGTAGATTTCATAAGTACTGCATATACTGGTTGTTTTATCTCTAATTGGGGGAAAACATACATGTAAGTCCTACAAGCAGTGGAAATCTAAGCTTCCCCTCCCCCTCTCAGACCAGGAGAAGGTGTCCGATTATGAGATGAAGCTCATGGACTTGGATGTTGAGCAGCTTGGGATCCCTGTAAGTGATGAGTTTGTTTCCGTGGATACAGTATTGTGTTTTTTTTTCTGGCCTTGGCCTTGTCACCCTGCTAACCACCGTCTTTGATCTTTAGGAGCAGGAGTATAGCTGTGTTGTGAAGATGCCCTCTGGGGAGTTTGCACGCATCTGCCGGGATCTGTCCCAGATTGGGGACGCTGTCATGATCTCGTGTGCAAAGGATGGGGTGAAGTTCTCAGCGACTGGAGAACTGGGCACCGGAAATGTCAAGCTGTCTCAGACCAGCAGTGTCGACAAGGAGGAAGAGGCTGTAGGTCTCCCTGATGTGTCCCATGCACTGCATTACGGTGGTATGACCATCTGGAAATTGGTCTGATGCTATTTTCCTCTCCCTCCTTAGGTGACTATTGAAATGAACGAGCCAGTTCAGCTCATCTTTGCTCTCAACTACCTGAACTTCTTCACGAAGGCCACGCCGCTGTCGAAGACGGTCACCCTCAGCATGTCCGCCGATATTCCCCTGGGTGAGCTCTTCGACACTCCAAAGGACTGTAGGCTTTACATGGATGAAGAAAGGCTGAGCTTACCTTAAGTGTTCTTTTTTGCAGTGGTGGAGTACAAGATCGCTGACATGGGACACGTGAAATACTACCTGGCACCCAAGATCGACGAAGAGGCTTCGTAGATATGGGTCGGAGAGAAGTGTGGCCCTTCTGGGGTGGCAGATGAAAGAAGCGCTTGACGATATCTGGGGTGGCAGTTGGATGTCTCCTGGTCCTGGAATCTCCCATTTCTTATATTTTAGGTTTCTACTTTTCCCCCTCCTCTCTCAACCCTCTGACTGTGATTCACTGGCACTGACAGTAACTGGGGACCATTTACTGTCGTTCATCGAGTTCCTGTTTTTCTAGCAGTGTTGCTGAAGTCCATGGTGTCCTGCATACGGGCAGCTCCGTCTTGCCAGCGATGCCGCTTGCATCTTCACCGGCCCATTAGTGTACTTTGAGCATGATGTTGGGGGAGGGGGGGCAGGGGGAAGCTTGCACGGAATACATGAGTTTTGTGTGTAAATGTCTTTTTATCTGAATTCTGAAGCTTTTTGACATAGTCTGTTGATGAAATGCACTCGTTCCCTGCTTCTCTAGTCTCCCCTGCTCTCGCTCTTAGATTGATTGCTTGTCCAGACCTGTAGATAATGTGTAAATATCGCTGTTTTGCCACCTGGTTTTGTATTCTCTGTTTGTTCTGGAATATTCTAATAATGAACCATGTGAAACCATCTCATTATTTGTTCGTTGTTAGATGGTGTCTTTGTTAAAGACTCTATATTCCACAGATCAGCATTCTGTACGCTTGCAATAAAACATTACAGTGACAAAGGATAGTTGCTTTTTGTGGTATAAAAATCTTCGTGGTGGTCGGGTGGGTAGCATTAGTCCTGTACTTCTAAGGGTTTGTGTTCGGTCCTGTGTTTGTGTGGGTTTATCGCCGTAGTTCAGGAATATGACTTTGAAGGCTTAGCATTGTGTGTTGTGATGGAATCACGTCCTGTCTGGGGGGGTGGGGGGGGGACCTTACATTGCTCTTACCTTCAAAGGTCACGAAGCTGTAGCTAACAGTGTTTCTTGGTGGATTCTTTTGTCTAAGATGACCCCAAAGAAAGTGCTTATCGCATGTGTTGACTCTCATTCCTCTCAGTTTTGGGGATTAGCTAGGGGTGATATCTGGCTCAGGAGGCTAAACCCCTGTGCTTGTGGCCAGAAGGTTGTTTGCTTGCGTCTGGTCTTCGTAGAACAGTCGCACATCTGTGGGTCCTTGAACCCCCAGCTCCATGCTGCTGCAGGTGGGCCCCCCTTCACTGTCACACATGTCTCATGTAGGGAAATGTGGGGTAGACAGAGACTTCCCCAGGGGCTTCGAGAAACGTTTCATTATTATTAGCTTGTTCCCTGCTCAGTGTACTTGATCTTGCCAATTTTCCAGCAGCATGTGTGCTGTAGATCAACCAAAGGTCTCCTGTGACCTTGGAACTCATTTGCTGTGCATTTTAATTTATAATTTTTATATATTTAGGGATGTTGGGGTAAAATGTCTTTGTATCCATTATATAAAATATTCCTTTTGACGCCAGGTTCAGTAAATGGAGCGAGAGCAATAACATTCTGTTAATTTCATGCTGCTTGACACAAAGCTATTTAGATGCTGAGTAAACAATGAAGCTGCCCATTTTTAATCTGTATGCGCGTTTACTCAGTGAACACAATAGGTTTTTACTCACCCCAGAAGTAGCCCAGAGCTAAATTTAATGTCCCTGGATCAGTTGATACATTAACAGGCACCAAGTTAAAACGATATGGCTGATTAGCCTCAATTCAATTGAGAATTATGACAATTTTTAGAAAATATCTTGAACCATGAACAGAATCATTTGCGATTGCTATACATTCCGTCCACCAGATGGTGCTCTCTTTATGAATGAAGCGTCAACATTAAAAATAACCATTAATATTTGAAATTTTGGAATGCATCCCTGCAAAGGGTTGGCACCCCATCCTGGGTTGTTCCCTGCCTTGTGCCCATAGGCTCTGGACCCCCTGCAACCCGTGACAAGATCAGCAGTTACAGAAAATGGATGGATGGAATGTATACAGGTCAGAGGGTAGCTGATGTATCTACTGTGTCCATCAGTCCATCCATTTATCATCTAAAAAATTATTTAGGAAAAGTGTCCCGGAGAGTCTGGATTGCATCTCAGGAAACCAAGGATGGGATTTTGTACTTTTAAATTTTGTACTTTTACTGTGATATTTGTATGTCTCCCTGGATTAAGACATCAGATAAATGAACGCTGTTACCAGTCAGTAAACCTCGTTTAATGGTATATTTATCCACCCCAACCCTGAACGGAATAAGCGTTCTGGAAGATGGATGTCACTTCATTCATTATCTGAGCCTGTCCCACAGAAAGTACAGCCCTTTGAAGGTGGCTTGGCTGCTACAGTGTGGCTTGAGTTTCTGAATAAGTGTCACTCTGGATTAGGACGGACACTATCTCAGCATCTGGAACCTTTGTATGATTATAGTGGATTACAGATTAAAATGGTTCTGTAATCCCTGTGCCAGCTCTCTATGTCATCTGTTTTAGTTTAATCTGGGGGTGGAAATCCCAACTTGAAGTCAGATTATGAGTTTTGCAGTAACAAGAACGGTCATTATGAAGTTCTGGGTATGCAGTTTGAATCGCTAAATCATTACATGCGACTTCCCACCTGACTGATGGAAGCAAAATGGGTGGTCAGAAGACTAATGACCCTCATTAATCACTACCAGCCCTCGCTAACTGAGTTTCAAATGCAAAACCATTAACCTGGACTTCACATCGGGAAACAGGCTTCTGGTAGTTTTAAGGTTAAGTGGTAAAAGTGCTGAATTCAGCCTTTTAATCTTGTGCAAATGAAATAGTTCAAAGTCGAAAGGTTGCATGAGGAGAAGAAGAGGATGGGAGATGTAATTAACCTATCAGCTTCTGTAATGCTAATAGAGAAAGCAGTGCAATGTCCTGGGAGACCCTTAGTCCCTTCAATATTTAATTAAACCATGACAGATAAAGATTCCAGAAAGTGGGGGAATTAAAAAGTAAAACAGTTAAAAATGGATGGGGACACAGGTGTGCCGCAAAGGCCACGTGTAGGGTGTATCTGACAGTGTGTGTGTGTGTGTGTGTGTGCGTGTGTGTGTGTTATGACAATGTGATTAAAACCTGTTATGTTGATGTTTCGGTCCGTGCAAAGGGAAGCTCAATTTTATAAAAATCTGTGGCTGCAATCAAAAAACTAAAAATTCCATAAGTCTCATATTTTGTTTGGTTACTTATGGTTAAGGTTAGGGCTGGGTAGAGGTTAAGGTCGTCGTTTTGCCCATAGGAATGAATGAAGAGTCCCCACAAAGACATAATTACAAACCTGTGTGTGTGTGTGTGTGTGTGTGTGTGTGTGTGCCATGTAAGCCTTTCTTTTGTATTCAGGGTTTTGCATGTAGATATCAAAGTATACTGTGCTTGTAATTGTAATCATAGTTATTATATATTGGCAGCGTGTGGCTCAGTGGGCTAAGCCGTGTGCCTGTAATCACAAGGTCGCCGGTTCAAGCCCAGCCTCAGCACGTCTGCGGGTCCTTGAGCAAGACCCTCAATCCCCAGCTCCCTGGGCGCCGCTACGGGTGGCTGCCCTTTGCGGACAGCTTGCTCTACAAAGAGCAAGTTGAGGGAGGCGTAAAAACAATTTCCCCACGGGGATCAATAAAGTATCAATTATTATTATTATTATTATTATATTGTGCTATTCTTCTGACTTCTCTTCAGTAGCAATACAAAGAGATATGGGTTTATGTGGAAGAAACTTACCTAAGAGGTTTACTGCACTCATATACTGGCTTGTTCTATATACCATTTTTAAGTTCCCCCAGCTATCACCAGTTTTCATGTTGACTGCGACTTCGGTTTGTTTTTTCAGAACATCACAAAGAGGAATGGAGGACAGGGACAGTAGATTAGTGGTGACAGATGCCAATGGCCAGGTCAGCATGCAGTGTTACAGTACATGGAATGGTTTAGTGGGACAGCTGGCAGATCAAGCATTCAGTGCTGGACTAGTGAGCAAACACCCCTCTGGAGCATCACTGAGGAGGCGGCTGGCTGCTTCTCCCCTAATAGAGATCTTCCTGATGGAGGGTCATGGTGAGAGCGTCACTAAAACATACACCTCTGACAACCACCACGACTACAAATAATAATATAATAAGAAGAATGATGATGATGATGATAACAATGATATTATGTGGATCATAAGGGGGGGTGGTGAGTGGCTCCACAGGTTCACCCTCCATGCCTGGGATCAGCAGATCACTGGTTTGAGCTGCAGCTGGAACAGAACAGTCACATGTCCGTGGGCCCTTAACCCCCAGCTCCAGGGGCCCTGCACTGTGACCCCCCACCCCCCAAGCTATGGCAAGCGAGATGAGGTTGACTAAAAGCAGCATCCCAATGTACCTGTACTTGTGCAAATGGCAAATGAAGAATGTTTGTTTATTGTTGTTCGTATTGTGAGTAGGAGGATGATGGAGAAGACAGTTATTATCCACCAGCCGACACCGGCAGACCAGGAATCTCCCAATCGTATAACAATCTGCTCACATGGTCTGTGACTTTAATGCATACAGGCATGCTTGAATACATCCCCGTTTATGTACAATTCACAGGTTCAGTGTCCTGTTACAGATTTACGTTACATGTGCAATGGTCAGATGTTGAGCTTTGTAGTGACTGCCCATGTTCACAAAGGTGTTCCTGGCATAGTCTCTACTTCTATCATCGCCATTTATAAATGTCCAGAATAAAATTTATCTACCACACAGTTTTTTTTTTTTTTTTATCACCACAAATTATATGCTAAGATTATATTTTTGTATTTTGTCATTCTGAGCACAGACTCTGATAAAATAGATGACTTCTGGGGAAAACGCAATAAAGACTGAGAGGCAGGATGAATTGAAAGATGCATATGGGAGATCAGTATGCACTTGTGTCATGCATTTTTATCAGCAAAAATCTGTGGCACTAGTACAATAATATTTAGCATGACATTTCCAGCTTATTGATGTCTTAGTCTTTAATCCAGTCCCCGTTCCAGCTTGATTGAGGTTAGAATAACGCCGATCTGGTTTTTAAAGATGTAGCTGCTTGTTTTGTTTAGCAAACAATAGTTTGGTACACTGACTTACATGTCCCTGTCCAGATATGCAGTTGCACATGAAAGTTCGGAAGCCATCACGTAGTTTAGGAACGGTCAATTTTTTACACTCGAATCTTCATCTAATCAAAACTTGTCCTTATTTTTCATATGTAAGAATCATGTTATTTGGATGACTCAATGCAGGGCTCCAGAACCATACCTCAGACAGCACTGGGCTCAAGGCGGGAGAGCTGTCTTAACTCCACTGGTATAATCCAAGTGTATGAAGCACATGAAAAAGCAAATCTGCTGCTTGGATATAGAGCCCAAAGCTGTACTAACGGCCATGTGAGTTCTCACATGTGATTGCCTTTGTTGTTTACATTCCACCACTGGCCAATCAGTTGTTGTGTGTTAGGTCACACCCTCATCTGGTTTCAAAACCAATGCCTCACTGCATTTATACTGATCTCTGGTGACATTAATCACACCTCTCTCTACATATAAAGTGCAGGACAAGGGAAGACAGGACCTCCATGCAAGCATGAAGTATATATGTGTGCAGTTGTGTTCCCCTCCTGTGTTCCAGTCAGTCCACAGCTTTGTAGAGCTGGTCACCAAGCAAAGCTTCCTGTCCAGTAGCAGCCCTCTAA